TATAAAATATGGGGAATGTAGATTTACGGTCGATCCAAACTTGGATAAATTCAAAAATTAGCTATTATGCTAATACAACATCGAAACTGTATCTAGTATGATAAACTCTTAAAGTTATAAGAATTTCAGTTATCATTTTCCTAAACGGTGAATAATGTTACATATCCAGTGAATTTAGAATGGATTATATAGGTTCATTATACCTATTCTATGTAGGTTCATCATACCTACCCCACGTATTCAGTATAGGTTCATCATACCTATTCTACGTAGGTTCATCATACCCACCCCATGTATTCCGTATAGGTTCATCATACCTATTCCATGTAGGTTCATCATACCTACTCCATATATTCTCTATAGGCTCATCATACATATTCCATGTAGGTTCATCATACCTACTTCATATATTCCATATGGGTTCATCATACCTATTCTGTAGGTTCATCATACCTATTCTGAATACCATATCCAATACGTTTGAGTTTCCATTATAAACTATTCCGGGTTTCGCGAAAGCTAAGATCTCAATACTTAGTAGAAACTCTCCAATATATAACCGTTAATCCTCGAGGGAACGACTAACGTCGGGTGTAAGTGTCATATTATTGATCTTATACGGTACAACCGCCCGCCTGGAGTTCATAGCTACAACTACATCTGACGAGATGAATTTTGACGCTGACGTTAGCATTATCGAAACATTACCAGGTGTTACAACGGGGTGAATGACTTTAGCACGCGCGCCTTATTATGGTGTTAGTGCATTAATAAAGTACAGTGTCACAAGTTCGGTTATGATTTCATTATAAAATCCCAGTTTTGTTTCGTTACCGTATAGAATCGATATTGGATTTATACGAGGTTTATGCTCACTCATTCCAGTTGAAAGAAACTGTATTTAGTAGGATAGCTTGTGACTCAAAGCGATAAGTGTCAGTACCAAAAATTAAGTCAGATAACACTTAATTAATATCATGACACGGTTCAACAAGATTTATTAACTTACATAAAATAAGTTATTTATATAAACCATTTGTTTTTATAAGAAAACACAATATTTATGTGGGAGGAGTTTACCCCACCAGCTAAGTGTCGGTTTTCAAATTAAGTCAGATAATACTTAATTATTGCCACGACTCGATTTTACAAAGTTCATAAATTCAATACTTTTGATTTTTTTTTTTATAAATGATACAATTCTTGTATAAGGTTTCAAGAGTAAAGTTGGTTATTTTATGTTATCACAAAAGGTAACATTTCTTATTTTATATAATTTGATATTCAAAATCTTTTACATAAAAATGCATTTTGATATAAGTCTGAATTACTTATATGTATTTTCCAACATTTGTACATTTGGATTTGAACAAAGGGTATTTATGAATGAGTTATAACACAATGTTATAACCCAATTATTTTATACTCTTGATAGAAAAGTATATATTTATAAAAGTTGTTCAACCAGCTAAACTTTATCAAACACTTTTGGGTATAAAAATACTTTGTGTCAAAACCTGTAGAACTCACCAACAATTTTGTTGATGTATTTTTAATGCATGTATTCTCAGGTTACTTAGCAGGTTGGAAGCGTTCGCTCAGAAGACTCTGCGTTAGTAATATTATATTTTTGTAACACCGGATTGTTAGGCGTGTGTCGCGATTTAGTAACAGTCATTGTCAATGTAATTTCTATTTCAGTTGTAATAGAAGATTTTATTTGTACTGTTCAATGTATGTTTAATAACTAGGATTACTGATTTACGTCGCGCACCTCGGCGTTTCTGCCGGCGGCCGAGGGTGTGACACAAATAGAAGCGGAACATAGAACAACGAGCACAAACCTGTATGAAACCTTCAACCTTCAATAGATCATCGTCGATCATAACTAAAGCCACATCATAGCTTTGATACCATGTAACAAAATATGAACTCAAGAACTCAACATATTTCCAACATCAACATTTCATTCACTATGAAACAATCGGTTTTCATCATACAAATACAAACGAAATATTTCACTACAATCACATTCAAACTCTCAAATGATTACAAGGAATCAAAAACTTCATTGAAATGAGTTTATACAGAAACCCTAATATGAAAACCCTCTTCAGAAGATGAAGTGAAGAAACGAGAGAATATCAATTGGAGCCTTGAGTTATGACTGAAATGAACTTCACCTGCACATTAAATACCCGGGGCAAGATATAACCCATGGATAGTCCATGGATTGGGTTCGGGTTAACAACATGTGACCATTCTTTATCTGCATACATAATCACACACATGCAACCCCTACAAGTAATATAACTGTAACGACCCAATTTTCAAGTAAAAAAATTTCATTTTTAATTAAACACTTCGCAAAACTTTTGAAAATAAACAACATTCGATCATATCATTTCTTAAAACATATTACGTGTCTGAAAACCAAAACATGAAATCAACCATAGTGTAAGAGTACAATCCCAAAATAATCATAGTGCGGAAAACGAGATGTGTGTATGATGTGACACTATCGTGCCAGCCCTTCCCCTTCGCTGAAGGGGTACCTGAAACCAAAACTATAAACTATAAGCACGAAGCTTAGTGAGTTCCCCCACTGTACCACATACCATATAACCATATAACATACATATATTGTAAGGCATATATGGGTGCCCGACCTACCCCTTCGATCCTCTCGACCGGATACTAAGTAGCATATCTGGGTGCTGGCCTCCCCTTCGGTCCTCTCGACCAGATACTGACTAGCATATCTGGGTGCTGGTCTCCCCTTCGGTTCTCTCGACTGGATGTTGGGGACTATTTCACCCCTACTATTACCACATAACACATATCACATAATCTATCTAGCATGGTTGGACATGACTTCCCCTTCGGCCCTATCGACCGGTAATCTGGGGACTATCTCCCCTACTGTCACTAGCACATAACATCATATCATACTAGCACATAAAAATATCACAAGTAGTAGCAACCCTAGATGAATATCACAGAGACAATCATCTAATCATACAACTCATACTGGTGGGTCGGCATTGTGGTCGTAGACCCACTACTACTGGAAGGTAACTCACCTCGAAAAGTAGCTGTTGAAAGCCTGCTTGCTAAGCGCCTGACTGCTGAACCGGTAATCCTCCGGCTATAAATCATAAACATACGTTAGCCACTCCTAAATACCCTTAGGTCAAATGACTGACCCACCCCTAGTCCAAGGTCAACTCCTTGGTCAAAGTCAACTTTCATTTGATTGGACTCGCCGAGTCATGGCACAGACTTGCCGAGTCCTTCTCCTACTAACTCGGTCCTACTCATCAAGTCCCACTTCCTACCTACTGAGTCACCCTTAACTCACTACTTGGGATGATTAGACCGACTCGCCAAGTCTGAGAACAACTCACCAAGTCCCATGAGCAGATCTCCTACTCGCTTCCAAATCCTCACCAGAGCATCCATTATGGGGATTTGGGTTTCTGGGACTAATGCTACACTTTAAATTGCTAATTCCGCGTGCAGATATGAAGGGTTGGACCTTCAACACTTAAACCCCTCTTACTAAGTAACAGTTCATATGACTCGCCAAGTTTGAAGAACAACTCGTCGAGTTCCAGGCAATCTTCATAGGACTCGTCGAGTTGTTCATCCAACTAGCTGAGTCTAAGACCATCTTCATAGAACTCGTCGAGTTCCACTTTGGGACTCGCCGAGTCCCTACGACCCATTTCCCATACAGACCAAATATGAGACATACAATAATTCCAAACCATATATCTATGTTCCTAGGGCATGCTTATCATGTAAAGTTGCAAACTTTACGTGCATGCATGGCCCTATAAGCTCAAAAAGGAAAATCCAAGCTCTTTATGAGGTCATACACTCAATAGGGACCTCAATCACTTCAACCACAGAAACTTTATACTTCTAAGATGCCCATAAGGTCCAGATCTAAAGTCCTTTCGGATCATAGAGCACAAACACATGGAGTTTGAGGTTTTAGGGCTTGAAAACCACCAATTGGGGACAAAAAGGGGATCTAATGAACTAGTGATCAAGGTAAGAACTTTTCTACCTGAATGGAAGCCTCTTGCAGGGTAGATGTTGGATCTACTTCCCCTCCTTGCACTCTTCCACTTCCTACTTCTTCTCTTAAGCTTCAAACTTCCTTCACAAGGACAAAAAGGGGGCTAGGGTTTCTCTCTACAGCTCTTTGGAAGTGTTAGGGACAAGGGCGGCCGAGTTAGAGTGTTTAAATAGGGTGCAAACACTCGGGTTAGGGTTTTTGCCCAAACAAGGCCTACTCGCCAAGTCCGGGAATCGACTCGCCGAGTCCAAAGCTTAGACCTTGCATCTCATCCCGCTTCTACTCGGCGAGTTGGTCCTTCAACTTGCCGAGTCCAAGGCAAAAATGCATTATTTAAGAAATATCAATTACAAGGAATACGTACCAGGAACCAGGTGCTACAATAACTTTAAACTATATACCCTGCATCACAATCTAATTACACAAATGATAAGTTTGTAATTGTTTTAATACTTTTAACAAATATCATATATGGCTAACAAAATTTAAACACTTTTTAATAATTTATAATCAGCTATTATATTTTTATAATTATGATAATTTGAAAAGAAAGATCAAATTGACCATATTATCACTGAAGTTTAAAACCCTTTTTGGCATATAATGGATTGACTAAATTGACCCTAACCCTTCGTTGACGTACGTAGATAGATAAAGGAGATTAAGATCACATACACCAATTTTCAACAAGGAACCTACCTTTAGTGTCGTCTTCAACATATTTTACAAGTATCCAAGTATATATGAGTTTTACGGACCCACTGGACCAGAAGCTTCTCAAGCTCAAGCATTTACTTTTCTAGTTAGAGACCAATGTCTTGGAGCTAACATCATATTTGCTCAAGGTCCTATCCGTTTAGGTAAATATTTAATGTGTTCCCTGACTGGAGAAGTAATTTTTGGAGGAGAAACTATGTGTTTTTGGGATCTACGTGCTCCTTGGTTAGAACCCACAAAGGGTCCAAATGGGTTGGACTTAAGTCGGCTGAAAAAATACATACAACCTTGGCAAGAACGTCATTCCGCAGAATATATGACCCATGATCCTTTAGGTTCTTTAAATTCCGTGGGTGGCGTAGCTACCAAGATCAATGCAGTCAATTATGTCTCTCCTAGAATTTGGTTAGCTACTTCTCATTTTGTTTTAGGATTCTTCTTCTTCGTAGGGCATTTGTGGCACGCAGGAAGAGCTCGTGCAGCTGCAGCAGGATTTGAAAAAGGAACTGATCGTGATTTTGAACCTGTTCTTTCCATGACCCATCTTAATTGAGACAGGAGATCAAAGACTTGAACTAGGAGTCACTTCGGTTCCTTTATACATATAGGGATCATGTCATAAAAAAAATTTCTTTTTTTTCAACTCATTTATATTTAATCCATTTTTCTGGCTTGGCTACGCGGGATAGCCGAGCCACTCCCCTTTCTTTATGATAATGAAACATCCTATCAAAACCAATCCAATAAAGAAACAAATTTATTTAACAAGCAAAATATGAGAGAGAGAGAGAGAGGGATTCGAACCCTTGATAATAAACTATACTGGTTTTCAAGACCGGGACTTTTAACCACTCAGCCATCTCTCTGAAAGACAATTTTATTTTAGTCCTCCGAATAGAACATGAACATATGAGTAGATACCGCCACTATCAAAGATCTCGAGTGTGATGGTCAATCTATCTATCCTAATATATGGAGAGATATATGATCCAGCATGTCCATTTGTAAAGTAAAAAAACCAAATTCCATTCTATATTATGTTTTTTTATTTCCTTCTTTTCTTGCTCTATTAGTATCTATTTATCATTTCTTTTATAGAATCTTTTTCTAATGAAAACCTTATTTGATTGATCCTCACAAAATCAAAAAATTTTGCCAACAATCAGGTGGTTTTCATTCGAATTCGAAATTCTAATACCAAGTAAGACACAAGGCATCGAAGTTCTTTATTCGACTTATATTAATTCAATACACTATTGATTGCATAAATTCTTTTTCTACTTCTTATTTATTTAGTAGTCTAGTGGTTTTTATTTCTAAATTGTCCATGGGTAAGACTCTAATTGACATGTATGTGAGATGTGAGCTTTTGGATGGTGCTCGTAAAGTGTACGATGAAATGGCAAAAAGAAATGAAATTTTCAATGGACATTGTTCAATGCGATTTGTAATCAAAGGACGCGAATCTTGAAAAACAATGTTCAAGAGTCCATCAACCATGTGTTCTTTGAGTGTTATGTAAGCGCTGACCAAGTTTGGAGATCTATTTTCAAGTGGCTAGATTTACCCTTTCTGTTGTTTCAGTCTTTTCTAGATGTCATTCACTTTGTTGAGGCTTATAAGGGATCGAGTTGGAGGAAGGAAGCTTTGAAGGTAATTATCTATGTGACGTTATGGGTGTTGTGGTGGTATTGAAACAATATAGTCTTCAATCCAAACTCATTTCAGAAGAGTACGATTTTAGACCGAATTGTTATCTATTTTCTTGATTGGTTAGCAAATAGGAACAATAAAGTTAGCATAAAGTGAAAACTCTTGAGTTAAAAATCCCACTATGAGTATATATCTCTGTAATTGTTAGTTTGTTCCTCTAGCTCTTTGTGCTAGAGTGTGTTTTTATAAAATCATTTTAGCCATTCTAAGAAAAAGAGAAAACCAATGGATTAGAGCAAGTATATGATGAATCTACTTCTTATCTTCGTTTGTTATGCTTAATCTTCATCGGCTGTTTTTATGTTCTTTTCTCGCTATTTTATGTGTTAGCTTTCAAAGTCTAAAACATCTCACATTCACATAAACTTGCGAGCATGTTAGCATATCTAACTGATACAGATACTGGATATTACCATATAAATGCTTGTGAACCCGAAGGACTACATTTAGATGTTGATTAGAAAACCATTGGTTGTCTGCATGTATATTTAAGATTTTGTAATTATGGATTTTGAGTATGTGGGATCAAATTTTATCAAGATAATCACTTTAAAATGTCAAAAAATCAAATATAAAATCATGATCACTTTTTCCCACACAATCAATATCATCATCAACATAAAAATTTACTTCTTGTGACTCCCAAGCATTTACATAGACAATGTTTTCCTATTTCAATTCTAATATATACCAACATCCTATGTATTTCTAGATTAAAAATCTAAATAGCAATCTACATCTCCATTTGGCTCTTCATCCAATCAAAATATTCCTCTACACTTCCATAACGATAAGCAAGTTGCCATTGTCGAAGATTCCGCAACCATTTTTTAACAACGGGCCCACTTTTTTCAAGCTCCAAATGTCTCATTATATCATTCCCATCAACCAAATGTTTGACTTCCCATACTTTATCCAACCCTAATTTCAATATTTCTTTTTCAACCTCCATAAACACTTCCTTCCTTTTCTCCACTTCTCCCCCTACAATACTCGAAAGCATCAATGCAACCCTCCACAAATCTTTCATTTCCCTCAAAACCAAACCCAACAAGATCCTTGATTTCAATTTCACAGGAACTTCAATCAAATCAATTTTCAAATCATTTTTATTCATATCTTCATTGGATAACACGAATGGAATCAAACACAAAAACTTCTCGACTCCATCGTCCAACCTCATAACATCACGTGCATCACTAGCTTTCAGCTTTAAACAATTTTTTAATATATAATTCACAACGGATACTTTTTTGTCTTTGTTATCTATATAAACAATGTTCCTAATTGGAAGAAACAAAGATGCATACAGATAAAGCCTCCTTTGTTTATATGTAAAACTACATCCCACTTCATGAAATTATCTCCATGCCAAATCCATATTCTCAACACAACTTTTCTCATGTTCTTCTAAAATTAAAGGCTTGGGATTTGTAGGTGGTGTGAAGACAATCAAAAACAACCCTAAATCATAAATGTAAGTTAATGCTTTAGTAGGTTGATTTCCGTTTACCATAAGATCAATCTCAAAGGCAATTCGTTCTCTACTAACTTTACCCAAAATTGCGGATTTCACATCATTGTCTAAAGCTGCAACTTTTAACTCTTCCAACATTTCAAAACCAAACCTTGTACTAAAACGAATTGCTCTAAGAACCCTCAATGGATCATCCAAAAACGTCACTTTTGGTGGCAATGGTGTCACGATTTTCCCAAATTTCAAATCATCCAACCCTCTTTTTGTGAAATCTTCAACTAAACATGTATGGATGTTGTAAAACAAGGTGTTGATTGTAAGATCCCTTCTATATGCATCTTCTTCTGGTGAACCGAATTGCATATTGCAATCTATTGATCTCAAGTGAACGAAATCAATTCAGACATGGAATAAACTCATTCTTGCTGTTTCCAAATACTTGGATTTATCCGGATTGCTTTGAATAACATCAAATCCTTGTGTTTCTTCACTCCTGGATACCAAATACTTGTTTATCTTTTCACAAAACTCTCGTCCTAACATGTTATCAAGAGCAATATCGATATCATAACATTCTTTTCCTAGAAGTTTATCACGTACCCATCCACCTACAACACAAAGCTTTGTTTCAAGATTGAAATGAGCAATAACTTTATGCGATCGATCGAATATCTGTTTTTCTTTATCATTTAGATCAATGGTTTCCTTCACTATGACAGGTAATGTTCCATTTGTCTTCATGATTGACCTGCATCAACTACCCTGTAAAAGGATGTGGTCAAAGAAGATCCATTAAACCAATTTAATTGCGTTACTTTCTCACTAATTTAGCTATGAACATGGCTGCAAATATACATGGATTAAATGATGAAATGGCCAAAAAAAATCACGATGATGATAGAGGGCGAACATAAAATAATTTGTTTTAGCTAGTGGATTAGGATTTTCAACAAAATCAATAACTAGTGTGCACGATTTTGTTGTGAGAAAAAGACAAATCTAGTTAAATTCCCTAAATATTTTCCAATAAATAGCCAAAAAAAAAAATTTAAAAAGTGACCCATATAGTAATTGAAATTGCAGTTGGGCCTTTATGGGTTGGGTTTCGTCATTTGGACAACGATTTCATCAAAAGCACAAAAGGAAATCTGGTTTTGCAATTTTGGCATGATGAAATAGCAGACCCCTATTACGATTTCCTGTATGATTTCCTCTTCTAGAGTGAGATTGTATAAATGTCTATACAGAAGCACTTGTACAATCCCACTTATCTTTGTTTTTCACAATAATGTCTAATACATAATGTTATGCATTAGACATTTGTAAAGAGGCAAAATAATAGAAGAAATCATAGATAAGATTGAGTTAGAGGAAATTGCAAATGGTCTGAAATCGCAAAGGTCACATGCCTTTTGAGATTTTGTTGGCTATATGGGTCATTTCTAAATGTTTTTTGTTATTTCTTATAAAAACTTTAAAAAGTTAGATTAAATTTGTCTTTTTCTATTTTTCAATTTTGTTGTGATGAATATTAAAAAGAGTCATATGAACTAACTAGCAACATAACATTTATCATGGAAAAGCAATCAAATTCGACCTAAACATACAAACAACAAAAATAACAGCATGAAACCCTAATTGTGCAAAAACCGAGTGAGACTAAGCAACTAGATGACTCAATCGAATGCTTATGAGTATAATCTGTAAAAAGAATCAATTAGATATTAATGTAGACAAAGAGATTAAGAAGATGCACCTGTAATCTTCAGATTGAGATTCTCCCAAGAGAGGACTCGGAGATAGGCGAAAATGAAGAAATAGTTACTACTTACTGTAGATCGGAGAGTTACTACGATGTTTTTTTTTTACTTAATGCACTCAAAGTTTTAAGAACTTAATTGTACAAAAAAAATCTAATAATAACTAGAAAGGTTACCCCTGCTACACGGGGGCCAGAAGCTTTCAATGTTGTTTCCGAATCGATAACTATGACAGACGTAGAAAGTGCAATGATGAAAAGCTCGGGCTTTACCCTGGATCGTTTTTTCATGTTTTTATGAAAAAATGTAAAAGTTTTGACTGCAAGGACCAAAAGTGTCAAAATGGCTAAATAATTAAAAGGGTAGGAATTAGCAACTTTTTCGAAAAGGGATCAAAGTTGTCAAACCATTAAAGTTTTGTGACCAAACTTTAAATATTAAAAGGTTCATAAAAAATATAAAATTATTGTTTGCAATCACCAAAATGTCAAAATAACCAAAGAATGAAGAGCAAAGTTATCAAAAAAAAAATGACAAGTTTACTATTCCTAATATTTATTTCTTTAATTTATATATATATATATATATATATATATATATATATATATATATATATATATATATATATATATATATATATATAATGGAATTAGAAAAGATTCTTAATTGAAGTGTAACTTTTAAGACTCACACGAGAAAAGATGTTTTTTGATTTGTTGAATGTTTTTAAAGGAATTAGAAAAGGTAGTGGTAGAAACTTAAATCTACTTTCACATACGTTTTGGTTGATAGGAAAAAGAGTTTAATTACAGATTTTGTTTGGATGACAGGAAATAGAATTATAATCCATATAAAATAACAGAATTGTTTTTTTTTTTTTTTTTTTTTTTTTTTTTTTTTTTTTTTTTTTTTGTCTGTTTTACTTAATTTTTTTTGTTTTCTTATATGTAAATATATATAATATAAAAAATAAAAATAGTTAATTTTCATTTTATTAATTGAGCATTTATGTCGGTAGTAGTGGTAGGTGGTTGTGGTGGCGGTGGCGGTGGTAAGTAATGATGGTAGTGGCAGTGATGGTGGTAATGGTAGTGTCGGTGACAAATGGTGGGTGGTGGCGATAACGGTAGAGTTGGTAGGTGGTAGTGGTGGCAATGGTAGGTGGCAGTGGCGGTAGGTGGGTAGGTAGCGGTGGTGGTAGTGACAGTAGGTGGTGGTAGTGATGGCGGTGGTAGTAGTGTGGGTAGGTGGTGGTGGTGGCAGTAGGTGATGATGAGCGGTGAATGGTGGTGGTAGTATTGGTTGGTAGTGATAGTGGCAGTGGCTATTACGATAGGTGGGTAGTGATGGCAGTGATGATGGCAGGTGGATTGTGGTGGTGGTGACAGTAGCGGGGGTAAGTGATAGTGGTGGTGGTAGGTGGTGATGGTGGTGGTAGTGGTAGGTAGTGGTGGTGGTGGTGGTACGTGATGGCATGTGGTGGTGGTGGTGGTGGTGTAAGAGGTGAGTGATGGTGGTAGATGTTATGTTGTGAAATAAAACAAGAGTAATAAAGTAAAATGTTGATTTCTTCATAGTAGGAAATTAATTCCACTATTTTTTCAAACACTGGAATATAGTGGAATTAGATTCATTTTACCTCGAATTTCATTTCATTCTATCAAACCAAACGCGCCCTAAATCTACTCATACCTATATAAATACAATGAAGTACAAGGATTTTTGGTTTTGGTTAAATTAAGAATATTCTTTCTTTATTAATTTGCCAAAGAGAAGTTACACGTATCTCCGCGCAAAGCAGCGACGACAATTAACTCTTTTGGCAAATGGTTTTTTGATGGGGAAATAATTATTATATTTTATTATTTGTTATTATATAATAAAAAATTACCTCTTTTAAATAAAATATTTACGTATAGTCTTTATATTTATATTGTATGTTTATACATTTAATGTAAATTAATTATTATCGGTGTTTAGTTTAAGAAATATAAATTAATTTATGTGCATTAATTTAATATTTTCAAATTGTTATTTTGTTCCAAATTAAGTTTCTTAACAATCTTATTTAATTCATGTTTTTTAAACTAACTACTAATGATTTTTCGTTATGTAGAAATGATTTGTAAAAAAAGTTTTATATCTTATACCTCTTAAAATTCAAGATGTGAATAATATGTTTTATAATACTAGTAGCATACCCTCGCGATGCAGGGGCGACGATTTGTTTCATTCCGGCGATTAGTTTCCGAACGAAAGTTAGTATCATTTGGGCGGTCGTCAAATTGTTTTTTTTTTTTTTCGATTTGTTTTATTGCGGCTAACAATAGTTTCTTTCAATGAATAATTTTTTGTTGGGTATTATTTTGTTTTCGCCCATTTGTTTCATTTCAATATGATGTTAATAGTTTAAAGATAGGTTTTTTTTTTGGTGTACTTCACGAAGATGTATAGGATATAACTTGGGCAATGTAGCGGACAACTTAATTTAATTTTAATGCAATTATTAGTTTAATTTCAAAGATTAATTTATTTTAGTAAATAAAATAAATTAGATTAAATATCATTAAGTAATAATTCTATATAGTAACTTATAACAATCCACATAAAAGTTTTTTCCTTTATATTTTTATGTTGCTTTAGTAAAAGACAATATGTATATAGGTTTGTAGTTTTCGTATGATTTTTCATTTTGTTACCAGAATGTATATAGATTTGTAGTTTTCGTATGTTTTTCCAAAAAGCAATATTCAAAAAACATATAACACAATTATTGAAAAAACAATAATAAAAGAACATCCAAAATGGAATATTCAAAAAGCTTTCCAAAAAACATTCAAATTTCGTTTTTTATTTCTTATTTTTAAAACAATTATTCTTTTTTAATTTATTAGATTTCAAAAAAAACAATATTCAAAAATTGATAAAATGAAGATTCAAAAAATCTTAAAACTACATATTTTGAGTCAGTTGTTTATTATTTCACGACCTATTACTTTCCCATTAAACAAATTAAATAACTCCCTAGAAACATATTGATATTTTCTATTAATATTTTAAAATTCATATGCCAACTCATCATCCATCGATTACGAATACATTTATTATGGTTTATTCAATGATGTTTCAACGTTGAAAAAATTAAACTCTTCTTTTAAAAAATATTAAGTTCATGTTAAGTAGTTTTTGTAGTAAAAAATAATATAAAAATAATTCAAAATTTGAAAATATTAAACAGAGATAGTACAATGTAAGATAACGTGATAGAATGACGTAGGGTGCAGAACTATATTGCTTTTAGTTTTTTTTATTTGTATTAATCATTTGAAGCCTTTAATATTATTTATGTTCCTTTTTATGCCATTTTTTCTAACTTCCTCATCTCTAGTCATCTTATTAATATCTTTTTTAAAAGTTTTTTAATACTATTTATTTTTCATATACTTAATTATGCATTAACTATAACATATTTTTACATACTAATGACTACAAAGCAAATTCAAAAATACTCTTGTGTTCAAATTTTAAGAACTTAATAATATTAAACTAATAATCGTAACATCAATAAAGAAATCAGCATTTTTTTTAAGTTTTACATATATTCCCAAGATTCACAAAATACAAAATACACCATTGCATCTCATAAAATTAAACAATAAAACCAACATTTATAAGTTTAATGTTATAATCATAAATGAAGCCAACGTTTATCAGTTTAATTTCATAAACAAAGACTAATACAATTCATTATTTAAATCGTATACAAACCGTATTAAACATATATCATTTCAAATTGTTCACCAAAAAGACTACAATATTTAAAAGTTCAAACTTGCTTCCGGTTTCAAATTTTTATCAACAAACCCTAAAATTAAAAAACCAGCTTCATTACTTATCTTGACTCAACAAACAGCAACTCAAGTACTATAAAACCTGAAATGAAAAACAAATATGTATATACTTTATTATAAAACACCTGTTAAATATTAAATAAACTCCAAAACTTTATACATGAGTAATAACCACAAATCTATGTACCTTGAGATTAACATAAACCTTTAGTTTTATAGATTTGATAAGAAAAACAAACAAACATGGAATAATTTCATCAAAAACACACAAATTCAAGTTCATTAAATTTGACATTTTCCCAAAATAAATCAATAAATATTATTATGTAAAATAAATCAACAAAAAAAATAAATATGACTATCAAAATCGAAAGCCAAAACAACACAAATGTAATCTTCAGAGTTCAGCCCCCAAACATAGATCTATTCAGAAATCATTTTGAGTAAAAACAACAAAATAAAAACCAGATACAACACTCAAACACAAATTCATCATAACCCACATGCAGTTTTTTTGTTTAATCAAGAAAAAGTTCTAAATGAAACCATAAATCGTAAAATAAGAAAGAAACTGTTGGGGAATTTCGAAATTGGGTTATAGGAAATCTGGATCACAAACAGGAATCGTGTGATACACTTTCCTTGTTTGATATTTCGACCCTAATTGCCTTGGGTATCACGAAATCCAAACTATGATAATTCCTGAAGAAACGATTCTGATTTTAGGCACAAAACATAGAATCAATTTTGAGAGAGAATGAAGAAGAAAGCGTCCTTTTTGTTTTCTGTGTTTCAACGAAGTTATATGTTTCCCGGACTTATCCACACAACGGATAAAACGATAACCGTTTTCAACTTTGAAAAAATACGAATTAACCCCGACTTGACACAGTAGATCAGGGTTCGGTACTAACAATGTTCAGTAAATACAAGTGTGCATTGTCACACCTCCTAACTTGTATTATAATTAAAACACTATTCTTGAAACACTTGTTAAATCCATTACACTAAAATATATTTGGTGATTAAATCACCAACAGAAACCATAACAAATGATTCTGCCTCTGAATCTTCGGGGAAGCAGCAGCATACGTAGATCTAAACAGATCCAAGATTTTACCAAAGGGTTCATCTGGGGTTCCAAAACACAAAATTTCTTTTTCTTTTCTATGACTGTGACCGTACGATACAAACAAAACACAAATATTAAAGATATATAAAACAGAAACACACACACACAGAGCAAGAGATACATTGGTAGTGAGATATTAGGCTTTTAGTAAATGAGAGAGTTAAGGGTGAGAGATAAAGCGTCGATGTCGATGGTGATGGTGTGCTTCTGACTCAGATCCGAAAGAGACACCTATCCGTTAGCACTATGCTGGTGGGCAACGTTTCTTTATAAACAGAAGAGAAACAACAAAAAAGGGATTCAAATCCCCCATTTCAAGGAACAATTGAGAATAAGTCTTCACTTTGACTGATTCAGTTTGATTGATGGAGATTTTTAAGGGATAAAATAAAACCTTGTATTCAATCATTTGACTAAATAAGCTTCAATGCATAAATTCATTGTACAATTTGCATTTGATGTTATACCTCTTAAAATTCAGCAAAACATGTTAAATGCTTATTAAGGTATAAAGATATAGTAGTATAAGAGAGTGATAGGGGGCATCTTTTTTGAAGTAAAATGTACTAAGAAAAATTTATTCAAGATTACAATGCTATAATAAGAAGAAATTCAAACACGTGCTTTGATAAATTTTAAAAAAAAAAAAAAACAAAAAAAAACAAAAAGAATTGAAAGTACCATGCTATTTTTTTGTTTTACACTGAATGTTTTTGAGTTTGATTGTTGTTCTTCGACTTCCCTTCGATAGACTTCTTTGAAATAAATCTGTTGGTTTGTGATTACGACTGTTTTTAGCACGACATAAGATACCAAATAATAAAAAAAATTAAATAAATAAGGTTGTCCAGTTAAACCTTATTAGGTAAAAAACTGTAAGCAACTTACTATTATGGATAAAAAAATAATCAATGTACATTGCCCATGAGCAAAGTATGTTGATATCTCCTACAATTTTCCCTAAACACAACACAACAACAAAGAAAAAACACCATCACGTTTTCTCTGTTCTTATATTTCAGAATACGCAAACCGATATCACTAGCATCAAAATTTACTTCTTGTACATCACAAGAACTTACATCAAAAAACTGTTCCCCGTGTTTAGATTCTAAGATATACCAATATCTTGATAAAAATGTAAATAGCAACCTACTTACTAAAAAAATAATAATAATAAAAACACCTAGAAATAGATTAAGATTATTCTCCTCTTGATGTTCTAGCACGCTTCTTCTCTATTTCCCTCTTCATCCAATCAACACATTCCTCTAAGCTTCCGGAAGGATAAGCAAGCTGCCATTGTAGAAGCTTCCGCTGCCATTCACTAACAACCGGGCCCCCTTTTTCAAGCTCCAAATGTTTCATTATATCCTTCCCGTTGACCAAAGGTTTGACTTCCCACACTTTCTCCAAACCTAATTTCAATATTTCTCTTTCAACCTCCATAAACACTTCCTTCCTTTTCTCCACTTCTCCCCCCACAATACTCCAAAGCATCAAAGCAACCCTCCACAAATCTTTCATTTCCCTCAAAACCAAACCCAACAAGATCCTTGGTTTCAATTTCACAGGAACTTCAATCAAATCAATTTCCAAATCAATTTTACTCATATCTTCATTTGATAACACGAATGGGATCAAACACAAAAGCTTCTGAACTCCATTATGTAGCCTCGTAACATCATCCGCATCACTAACTTTTAACTTTAAAGAGTTTTTGAAAATGTAATTCACAATTGGAAATGTTTTCCTTTTGTTGTCTATGTAAACTATCTTCCTAAGTGGAAGAAACAACAATGCGTATAAATAAATCCTTCTCTGTTCATTTGTAAAACTACACCCCACTTCAAGAAACTGTCTCATTCCCAAATTCATATACTCAACACAAATTCTATCATCTTCTTGTGAAATTGAAGGTTTACAATTTTCAGGTAATGTGAAAACAACCCAAAACAAACCTAATTCTGATATGTAAGTTATTGCTTTATCGGGTTGATTCCCGGATATCATAAGATCGATTTCATGTCCGATTCTTTCTCTGCCGATTTTCCCACCAATGGCAGATTTCACATCATTGTCTGAAGCTGCAAGTTTTAATTCTTCATCCATTTCAAATTCAAACCTTGCACTAAAACGAATTGCTCTAAGAACCCTCAAAGGATCATCCAAGAACGTCTCTTTTGGTGGCAATGGTGTCACGATTTTCCCAGATTTCAAATCATTCAACCCTCTTTTAGTAAAATCTTCAACTAACATGTATTGATGTTGTAAAACAAGTGTTGATTGTAAATCCCTTCTATATGCATCTTGTTCTGGAAACCGAATTGCATGGTTGGAATTCTGGTGTTTTCATGTAATCTTCGGATCTTAAGTTGACGAAATCGATCAGACATGGAATAATCGCATTCTTGCTGTTTCCAAATGCTTGGATTGATCAGGATTGCTTTGAATAACACCGACCTTGTGATGTTCACCTGTGGATACTAAATACTCGTTACCTTTTCACAAAACTCTTTTCCTAACATGTTATCAAGAGCAATATCGATGTCATAACAATCT